GAAGCGGACATCGGTGTGGCCATCCTGGTTTTTCGGTGCTGGTTCGGATGAAAAAGAGAAAGAATCGAAGATTAAAAAGCCGAAGGCAGAAAAAGTTCAAAAAGTTGATGGTGATCTCAATGAGTCTGGTACCAAAGAAAAGTCATCAAAAATGACGATCTCATCAATTTTTTCATGGCCTTCTCAAAGTAGGAAATCCACTGAAGAACATGGAACTTCAACCGGGCTATTATCTACCCCTTCAACCTCATCTCACATATCTGTATCAAACAAAAAACCCAAGTACACCAATTACAATCGTCTTCCTATCCATGTTGAGCGTGCCATATATAGGCTTTCTCACATCAAATTAGCAAATCCGCGTCGTCCCTTGCACGAACAAGTCCTAATTTCTAATATGATGTTTTGGTATCTTTCACTAATTAATAAACAACAAATCGAATTTGGAGCTGAAGTAAATCCCAATACTGAAAAAGAAGCGGCAAAAGTAAAAAGTAAAGTTGGAAAGTATAATATAGTAGGTCGCAAACGAAGGAAAGGTGAAAAGAAAGGTTCATCTGATGCAAGGCGGCGTGGTGCTGGTTCAAGTGCAGAAATAGCATATAAAGCACCACAATATGATATACAGCAAATTTCACAGCAGTATCTCACACCGCCAATGTCACCTTCACAAGCAAATTCACCGTATACACCAGACTTTGGTTATTCAAAAGAATTTGATGACTATAGTGATTCAAATCCAGACTATTCATATGAATATGTCGAAGATGCTCATGGTCACCGAAAATATTATCATTATGGAGAGGGATATGTATCCGATGGAACAGATGGTGGATATCTTGATAATCAGGACCCAACCAGTTTTGGCGTAGAAAGTAGTCATGTAGAGGGTTTAGTTTATTATGATTCTGAAGTTGAGAATGTTGGTGGCGAAAGTAGTAATAGGGCCGGCAACTATAATTCTCGCAGACCTCCTTCACCGAATAGGCGGTCCCCTTCCCCAAATGGAAAGTCGTCAAATTCTCGACCGTCACAGAACAATCAACGTTCAACTAGTCCGATAAGACCAAGCTCTGGGACAAGAAATAAACAATCTCGTACATTTTCAAATAATAATGAAAATGTGAATGCAACGGATCCAATAGTTGAAGATGAAGACGACAATGTTCCCTTGGGTCTTTATAAAACGCATATTATAAAATAGCAAATGCTAAATTTTTATGGCAATTTATAAATAAACTCCATTAATTTAAAGTTCATATCCGAGAGAAATTGTATACTGTAGAATGTTAATCGTAGATTTTAATTCTCCGGAAAACGCCACTTTATTCTTGATCACCTTTTTTTCGCATACCTAGTTAATTTCTATAATGTATTAGTTTATAAGTGATATATGCAAAATTTATTTTTATGTAAAAAAAAAAAAAAAAAAAAAAAAAAATTGTTTTAAATTTTTTTTTATTTTTTTTTTAAAATATTTTTTCTAACAAATAAGTA